ATGAGATCCGGTGCATTAGTGCTGGTATGATCGTACATAAAAATCATCCTTCACTTTATTCCTTCATGCCTTAACCAACCCAGACCCTCCTCTCCCCGTTGGATCACTATGGACCGGTCTGAAGGAACCCATGGCATGGACCCCGGTTTCTCGACCTGTTCTGCTCCTTCACGAAGAGGGGGCAAAAATACGATAACGGAAGGCCGTAATCACGAGCCGCCCTCGGCCCCGCCCGTCTTCATGGTGCCTCCCCGTATCGGCATGAAACAAGAGAGATAAATACAAATGTGCATGCCCGACGTCCACTAAAAACGGATGATACCAAGCCAAAAAGGGGTGCAATACGAGGACTTCCTAGGGGTCACCCATCCTAGTACTACTATCGCACAAGCATGCTCAATGGCAGAGTTCTGATAAATACAAACATCCACACCCGTCGACCACTAAAAAAAGGAAGGTATCTGGCCAAAAAGGGGTACAACACAAGTAATTCCCAAGGGGTTACCCATCCAAGTACTGCTCTTGCCATGCCTGGTGAGCTGAGCTTGAACCTCCTCATCAAACTCTTAAAGATCAGTGTCTGTTAAGTCAGAGTTAGATGAATCTAACTCAGTGATTATGAGAGATGGAGTAGTCGCTGAAGGAGTCTTAGAGAGTAAAGCTATAGGAGAGCTTTTTGACTCCTTTGAATCTCTTATGAGATTCTTTTTCAGCTGGCGAGATTGCTCATGATTGAGCAAAATTCCATATAGAGTGCTGTGTGTGTGAGAGAGAGAGAGAGGACATGTATTTTGACATTTTGAGACACATGGTATAATTGTCCCATAATTTTGGAAAACATTCTATGAGTAGGCAGTTAAAGCGCCGGTGAACTTCAGACGCCGGTGAACTTCAGACAAAGATTCATTTTGCCATAAATGAAACTTTCATATTGTCTTACCAGGTTCATCTTTCTTGTCTCCTGTACCTTAGTGATACCTTCATATTGAACACACAAAGTGTCCCACATGGATTTACAGGTTTTAAGCTTCATACAGAGTGATATACCTCATCAGGAAGAGACATGACTATGATAGATCTAGCTTTAGCGTCAAGAGCCATTTTCTCTTGTCTTTATCTCTCCATTGATGAGAGAGCTTTGAAATCTGCCTTTTAGGTATAGCAATAGTGGTAGCAGGGACTGTAGGAGATATTGCAAATGAAACATATGGTCCGTTTTCAACATAGTAGGGGATCTCAGGATCCACATTTCTAAGACTAAGGACATCCGACTTTTCCCGAGACTAACCTTGTCTCTACTAAATCTGGGAGGTTTGACAAGAGAGTCATTATCATGAAAGATTGTGTTTATGTTTTGCTAAGCCATTTAAAAAATGGTTAGTAGATTATCTTAGAATACGTGATAATAAACACTGCTCTGATATCACTTGTTGGTTCCAAACGGATCTATAAGAGTTTAAAAGTAACAATTTGTAGGGGGGGGGGGGGAATGAATACAAAACACATAATTTTCACTTTTTAAATTTGTTTATTGATAAGAGAAGATCGATATGGAATTTACAGATTGTTGTGGAAGAAGATAATAAGAACTCATCTAAACAATCTTACAAGCACACAGTTTGCACAGAAGATAAGAACAAGAAAGAAGAGAGTTAGAATGAGAAGAAGGTGCTTCGCTGAAAAGAGTCTTCTCAACTATTTATACCCATTGCATTTAATGCAAGTCAGAGGGTACAAGACACATAGCAAAGTTTAAGTGGAGAGTTTGTCATTTGTCTTAAGAGATGCAAACTTTTGGCCACATATGAACAATTGTCTTTCACAAAGTTGGTAAGCACGTTTAAATATAATGCCAAAAGCTTGTATATCTGGAGGCAAAGGGCAAACTCTCCTCTAGAAGTTTGACACGTGCTTTGTACCCTCTGACTTGCATTGAATTCAATGATTATAAATAACTTAAGAGACTCTCTTCTCCATAGTGAAGCAAAGCACACACAAGCTTTCTCAAGCTTTTTTTTAAGCAATCACTTTCTCTCTTGCTATTTTGTGTAACTTGTGTGCTTCCAAGATTGTTTAGATAAATTGTTAATCTTATCTTTTTCCGCAACAATCTATAAATTCTGCATTGATCTTCTTTTGTCAATAAAAGAATTTAAAAAGTGAAAACTGTGTGTTTGTATTCTTCCCCCATTCTACAAACTGTTACTTATAAACTCTTGTAGATCCGTTTGGGATCAACAAAAATAATAATTAACATATCTCTAACTTTCTCAAAACTGTAAAATATAGTCGAAAAAGACAAACAATAGAACAAAATATAGATCATTATTTGATAGTTCGAGTTGTAGATTTTAGAACCGCGCTGCCTTGCAAACCTCATTCAACCAATYATAATTTCTCTTTTTTCACCTTTTTTAATTATAAGGATTGATTAGTGATGTTTATTGTGGACAACTTTAATTATGAATATTATCATCTTCATTATATTAATTTTAGAAAAMAAATTTCATTAAAAATGAGAAATACATGAAACAATTTCATTTTTTACATAGAAACAAAGATACATGGAACAATTTCATCTAGAATAGAATTATATGAAACAATTTCATCTAGAAAAGAATTATATGAAACAATTTCATCATATTAAACAACTTCATTAAATTAAACAATAAAATCAACAGTTTGTACAAATGGTTTGGTTTGCATTTGATTCCTCTCCTAAAGGGTTGGGTTCCAGTGAAAAAGAGAGTTAATATGAGAAGTATAAGAAGAGATCTCCATCCTTAGATGCATATTAGGATGAAATGCAYCGGATCAATCTTGTATCAAACGTGATTAATGGGTGAGTTTGAGATTAAAGGTGATAAAGGGTCCAGATCCCTTCTTATACTTCTAATTTTAATTCTCTTCATCACAAGATCATTCATCCTCCCCTATATATAATATATATAAGATCAGGTTCGGAGAAAACCACAAAAAATGATAATAGATGTGCAAACAAATAGTATTTATGCAATTTGTTCGGTATGCACATATGCATAACACACACATACATAAAAACCAAAAAACAATTTCAGTTATTTGTATGCACATGTGCATATATTGTCCAAATGAATGATTATTAGGGTGATCCTCAATCTTTCATTTTTCTGGGTTTTCCCATGAACCTCCCTCCCGCTCTCTCTTTCTCTCTCTCT